AGAAGCCGAAGCTAAAGTTGCTGAATTCGGTGGGAACTCTGATTAAATAGCCATTATGAAAAGATGAAAAAAGGCCAAAAATAATAATAATGTGTAGCAACTATGAGCAGCAGTGATCTTCTCTATTCTGATTCAGACTAATTCCATTTCCCTAATCCCATGCTTACATTTTCCTAACATTGAGGTTGATTATTGGATTATTATCCCAAGAAATGCTATTGATAGATCCAATTGTCATACATCGACTGTTAGCTTCTCGACCGTATTTTTCATTCATTTAGATAAAAACAGCCTTAATGAATCAGTAATCATAATGGCCATCATCCGATTAGTCCTATAGTTTAAATCTCAAACTGGAATATGCGTTCAAACGCCTCAATCCAAAATCGAATGTCTGCTCGCGTCTGCCGATAAGATTAATTAGTTCAAAACTTCCTTCTGTCCCTGTTGCTGTATACCTTACAAATTTATTTCTATCTAAAATAATTCTTAGTTGTAGATAGTAACTTTCTGCCATGTTGCCATCCTAAGAGGCCTGGAGTACGCCAACTCTTTAGTTCCTTCACTAATTCATCCCACTATTGATTCTACTGTATTCGACATGATTCAGAAAATGTGAATTGTTCACCGTGATGCAATATTCGGTTCACTTAATTATGCTCAAATCTCCTCAATTTTCTAAATGTAATATAGTCCCAGGCAACGATTCTAAATAAAATTAAACGAGGTAGAAATTCAAAGAACTGGCTAATGATTGCCCCTTGGACCTTGTCGCAGAAGGCAGTCATCCTTACCGTGACCAGGACGACTCTTCAATCCATGTTTTTTAGGGGTGCTGAAGATTTGCCAGTTCATTCATTTCTTCAAGGAAGCAAACCGCCAAACTGCACTGGAATCAAGGATGAGTACTGTAGACTACCGTATTACACCGCCATCCATGATCTGTTTCCTCCTGAGTGAGTTCCCATCTCCTGGAGTTTACATTAGCCGTTTTTGAAAAAACATACAATTCTAAATGTAGGCATTCTCTGTGGGTTCCTGTACCATCACCAGCTACCGTACCGTATCCAATCAAATTGTCACTCATTGATCGCGTTCGCGTGGGAGGGAATAGGTTGAATCTTACGTTCGAGGTATGATTGCTACAAATAGATTCCTGTTTTCCAATCATGATAGAAATTTTTAGCTTCGCGGTGGCTTTGACAAGATGTCGCTTCACGTGACACCGCTTAATGGCTACGAGCTGGTGTCGTGGTCCTTTACTAACATTGATCTCAAAGAATTCGGCCGGCGCACTACATATTTTGTTTTCCTCACCTATGGTTTCGAAATGCCGGAATACCGCCGTTTTTGGATTCTCCTCGAAAATGTAGGTGACATAATCGTTATATTTTCAATAATTTCATCTTTATCGTAGTAAAGATTATATCACGTCATTTAATTTACCTCACTTCGAATAAGGTAGACATGTCGCTAAAAAAAATTGGACGAGGGGCTCCTTCTTGCGTACCAAGCACCATGCCCTTGGTGCACGGTACGCAAGTAGGAGCTCCTTGTCCAATTTTTTGGTGGACTTCGTTTTCCTATTCCATCATTGATCGTTTGCTCTCTATCAACACCAGCGGAATCGCTCCCTTACAGGGAAGATCACTCGGGAAAGCGGGAAAGCTTGAAGAGATTGGGGGGTATCTTTCAGACAGATGGCTTCCAAAGAGAAGCATGGAATTCATACCATAAGAATTAAAGGTGCACGAAAAAGCCTATGACCTATGGAAAGGCTATCGAAATGAAAGAATTCG